AGAAGAGAGAGCGAGAGAGAGGAGAAGAGAGAGGAGAGAGGAGAGAGAGGAGGAGAGAAGGAGAGAGAGAGAGATAGACGACGAGTAGACGAGAAGATAGAGATATGAGACGGATTTGCGTTCCTCCACCTTGCCCCATCTCCCTATCTCCCTACCTCCCCATTTTTGAGGGAAAAAAGGTTCCTTCAAGTGATCAAAAAGAACTCCAGTGGCACAAAAACAGTCCGTTTTCTTTGATCTGAACAGACAGTAAACAGAGGGACCAGAGGGAGAGAAGGAAATGAAGGAAGAAAAAATGAGGAAAATAAATGGAGGGAGAGATCAGCGGCAATCACCAGGAGACAGAGGACAGAGAAGACAGGAAGTAAAGCATCACAGGAACTCAAACCGTTCTCTGACAACCAGCATGCCTTTAAAACAATTCCCCCGTAGACAGACATGCAGCCTCACATCACCACAGCAAAGACTTCACAAACTTCTGAAATGCAGAGGAGAATAAATACCGGATCATTCAACTACCAATACAGAACAGTTCAGAGATAATACTGGATCTATCAAGTACCAATACAGAACAGTTCAGAGATAATACTGGATCTATCAAGTAGAAATACAGAACAGTTCAGAGATAATACTGGATCTATCAACTACCAATACAGAACAGTTCAGAGATAATACTGGATCTATCAACTACCAATACAGAACAGTTCAGAGATAATACTGGATCTATCAAGTACCAATACAGAACAGTTCAGAGATAATACTGGATCTATCAACTACCAATACAGAACAGTTCAGAGATAATACTGGATCTATCAAGTACCAATACAGAACAGTTCAGAGATAATACTGGATCTATCAAGTACCAATACAGAACAGTTCAGAGATAATACTGGATCTATCAACTACCAATACAGAACAGTTCAGAGATAATACTGGATCTATCATGTACCAATACAGAACAGTTCAGAGATAATACTGGATCTATCATGTACCAATACAGAACAGTTCAGAGATAATACTGGATCTATCATGTACCAATACAGAACAGTTCAGAGATAATACTGGATCTATCATGTACCAATACAGAACAGTTCAGAGATAATACTGGATCTATCAACTACCAATACAGAACAGTTCAGAGATAATACTGGATCTATCAAGTACCAATACATAACAGTTCAGAGATAATACTGGATCTATCATGTACCAATACAGAACAGTTCAGAGATAATACTGGATCTATCAACTACCAATACAGAACAGTTCAGAGATAATACTGGATCTATCATGTACCAATACAGAACAGTTCAGAGATAATACTGGATCTATCAACTACCAATACAGAACAGTTCAGAGATAATACTTATTGTTATAAGACAGGATGATGGCCAGGATTCCTACAACAACACCCTATAGAGACACATTACAGCTGGATTCCTACAACAACACCGTACAGAGATAGCTACTCAGTCTCTCCACTAGTCCAGTGGTATCACATTAGATATCTCAGTCTCTCCACTAGTCCAGTGGTATCACATTAGATATATCAGTCTCTCCACTAGTCCAGTGGTATCACATTAGATATCTCAGTCTCTCCACTAGTCCAGTGGTATCACATTAGATATCTCAGTCTCTCCACTAGTCCAGTGGTATTACATTAGATATCTCAGTCTCTCCACTAGTCCAGTGGTATCACATTAGATATCTCAGTCTCTCCACTAGTCCAGTGGTATCACATTAGATATCTCAGTCTCTCCACTAGTCCAGTGGTATCACATTAGATATCTCAGTCTCTCCACTAGTCCAGTGGTATCACATTAGATATCTCAGTCTCACCACTAGTCCAGTGGTATCACATTAGATATCTCAGTCTCTCCACTAGTCCAGTGGTATCACATTAGATATCTCAGTCTCTCCACTAGTCCAGTGGTATCACATTAGATATCTCAGTCTCTCCACTAGTCCAGTGGTATCACATTAGATATCTCAGTCTCTCCACTAGTCCAGTGGTATCACATTAGATATCTCAGTCTCTCCACTAGTCCAGTGGTATCACATTAGATATCTCAGTCTCTCCACTAGTCCAGTGGTATCACATTAGATATCTCAGTCTCACCACTAGTCCAGTGGTATCACATTAGATATCTCAGTCTCTCCACTAGTCCAGTGGTATCACATTAGATATCTCAGTCTCACCACTAGTCCAGTGGTATCACATTAGATATCTCAGTCTCTCCACTAGTCCAGTGGTATCACATTAGATATCTCAGTCTCTCCACTAGTCCAGTGGTATCACATTAGATATCTCAGTCTCTCCACTAGTCCAGTGGTATCACATTAGATATCTCAGTCTCTCCACTAGTCCAGTGGTATCACATTAGATATCTCAGTCTCACCACTAGTCCAGTGGTATCACATTAGATATCTCAGTCTCTCCACTAGTCCAGTGGTATCACATTAGATATCTCAGTCTCTCCACTAGTCCAGTGGTATCACATTA